TAATGAGCACAGCTAACTCTGGAGACATAGAATAAACACATGCTTATATGCTTCCTACAAAGAAAAGTCTGAATGGATAGGTAGAAAAACCTTAAGACTGCAGGTCATCTAAATACTATTTTTCTTTATTGTGTTGCATATTTTTATTTTTAAGTGCTGCGTATCATACTAATATATATTGAGTGCCTATAAAAGCAGATGCTAAGACTCATAGCCAAACTTTGGGCAGCAGGGAATCTTATGAAAGAAGGGGGAGATAGAAAGACCTGGAAGGGACAGGAGCTCCACAAGGAGAGCAACAGAACCAAAAAATCTGGGCACAGGGGTCTTTTCTGAGCCTGATACTCCAAACAAACGTAGAACCTCTGGACAGATGTAGCCCATGGCAGCTCAGTGTCCGAGTGGGTTCCCTAGTAACTGGAACAGGGACTGTCTCTGACATGAACTCAGTGGCTGGCTCTTTGATCACTCCCCACTGAGTGGGGAAGCAGCCTTACCAGGCCACTGAGGAAGACAATGCAGCCAGTCCTGATGAGACCTGATAGGCTAGGGTCAGATGGAAGGGGAGGAGAACTTCTCCTATCAGTGGACCAGGGGAGGGGCATGGGAGGAGAATAGGGAGGGAGGAGAGGATTGGGAGGAGATAAGGGAGGGGGCTACAGCTGCGATACAAAGTAAAAAAATTGTAATACATAAAAAATAAATTAAATATATATATGTAAAAAGAAAAAAGAAAAAAAACAACAGAAAAGGCTCTAACACCTTAAAAAGAGCTGGATAATATGTATATATTGGTTTTAAAAAGACTTTTAACAGCTTTTGTTAATTGAATTATTGATCTAATGAAATGCTGACAACTGACACTTCCTCCAAGGCAGGAAGTGATGTGCTGGAGGTCACTGGGTCAGCCACCCAGCTCTTTAGCTAAGTCTAGTTCTGGCAAGCAATAGAAAAGGGGATTTCAAGGTTTCTTCCACAAGGTGAGAAAGCTCTATAAATACAACTGTAAAAATGCTTAATCACACACCTTGGAAGTAATCGCCCTCATGGCATTTCACCAAGACGTTCCAAAACAAAGCTTAATTTCCTTTCTCTATACTCTTGAGGACTTTCTGCCCTTTAAAAAAAGAAGATAAAAGAGAGAAAAGAGAAAGAAAAGGTAGAAGAAAACAGAAAGGAAGAAAAAAGAAAAAAGTATGCTGGGCTGTTTCCCCGGGTTTTTAGGAGGACGGGTCTTCTGCAGCTACATGCCACCCTCCCGCCCCGGGCCTTGTTTCAACGTGTGTTCTCATATTTGAAGACTTGCAGAATTCTTATAATTCATGCTTTTATCACAGAGTGTAGTAAAGAGCCAAGATGAAATTACTTTCAGGTTTACTGAATTCACAATATCTACTGATTTAAAAAACAATCACATCATTTTCTCTGTGGCTCCTGAATTCTTGGAAGAATCACTCGAAATCTAGTATAAAAGGACAAAATGAAATAAGACTTCCTCAGAGCAGAACACCATTTCCTTTAGTTATATCAGGCAGAGAGCTTTTACCTGTAATTAAGTAAATCCATTACAGGATTCACAATGCCTGACATAAATTAGAGTCACAAATACATAACCTTTAGTTGACCTATGTTTCATTCTTTAATTGGGCCCGTCACAATCAAGTGATCAGTAAAAAGAATATCACAAACAGTAACCCTTCGATGTGTCAGATATTATAACTGTTCATCCTTGTGGCTGCAGAAAGTAAACAGCTTCACTCTACCTTTTGGGCCCATCTCCTGAAAGCATAATACATCATATTTACATTGTGACTTTCTGTGCATAAGGGACTCCTTTCTAAGTCCTTGAAGATGATGTGGCTATAAATGCATATTTGGATGCGCTATGAATATAATACCTGTGATAAGTATTCATTTTGATAACTTTAACTGCCTCCAGCGTTGGGAAGGTGAAGAGCAGAGCAACTGTATTTCCTGAAGACGGCCTGGGCATTGTTTCTGAGAATTCCATCTCACTTTAACACAACAGTTACAGCTGTCTCATCCATCCTTGGCCACTGATAGATCAGAACATTAGATGTTTTCCCAGAAGCACAGAGCTCTAGAGGTGGAGTCAAGCTGGGCTGAATTTTGAAAAGCTGTTAACTCGGACATTTCCTAAGTATTCCACCTTAGGCAGGTAACTTGTTTAAACTACTTTTTTGGTTGCTGAAAATATAGATGGTGGCACCTACGATTGCAAAGCATAATTCATAATTTAGCCAATTGGTATACAGCATGTTCTTCACGGGATAAATGTCAGGGAACAGCCCCAGAAGGGTGTTTCTCCAGGCACTGAAATATGTAATGTTCATTCTTTACAAAAGGTCTCTTTGACACTAATTCCACAGACCAAGTGTGGGGTTGGTCTGGAGCTACTGTGTATTCAGGTGTTAATTCCCCCCCCCCCCCCACTGTTCTCTGTAACTGAAATGACACTTAACCACGCCCCTTACCTTATCCTTGACTGGCCAAGAAAATGCTGACACTGGCCTAGTGGGAGAGAGGGGGCGAAGAGAAGGTTGGAGGGCTTGAGAGAGTAGGAATATGAGGAGGAGCAGGAGGAGGGGGAGGGGGAAGGGGAAGGAGGAGGAGAGGAGCCAATTCCGGAGAAGATAGTAACTGCCGGTATTGGGGGCTTTGGAGCAGCGTAGGAGAGCAGTTACTATGCTCAGCTCTGTGCTTAGCTTTTGAATAAATCAGAGTCTCCGTGTGTGCTCATTTGGGGGCAATTGCTGACTTAGGAGTAACTAAGCTTTACCAGTATATGGGCGAATATTAACTATTGAAATTCATCTACAACCAAGGGCTCAACCCTGCCTCGAGAACTGTTGTGAAGACCAGGAAAGAAGACAAACGGACCCCATGGTGCCTCCTTCCAGAATGAGGACCAGTGTCCAAGTGTGTGTGCAGGCCTGGGTCTCCCTCATTCTGCTCCTTTATGGCGTCTCATCTTTTTCCAGGCCTTTCTGAACCTTGGGATCCATTTTTAAGATCGACATCAGCAATTCAGCCCCTTTGTGAGTACTCTTTAGTACTTAGCAGACACTGTGTTTACAAAACCCTTGACCTTACACTCTCGCCTCATATCATTTCCTGCTTAACACACTTGGCTTAAGGATTAAGAATATGTCTTGTTTCATGCTTTTACAATCTTTAAAAAGAGAACTACCTAAAGAGAAAGCTGCTGGGTAAGTCCCTTCCTGATCTAGCAGCATTCTTTCACACGCTGCAAGGAGAAGCCTTCTCTCTTTGCTGCAAAAATTCCAGAGCGTTCAAGGAGCAGGTAGAAGAGAAAGACCCAGCTGCCTGGACCTCAGGACACACACAGCTGAGCCTAAGAAAGCGAAGACATGCCTCCTGTCCTCAGTATTCCAAATTCCTCCGTGCAGCTGCCGCGTGTGGAACCCTCATCCGCCCTCATCCGCCAGAAGAGAGGGTGCTGAGGTGGGTGTGGCACGCGGTGGAGAGGAGCGCTGGCTGCTCCCCACCCTGCAGGTGGGGGTTCTCAAGGTCATCCCTGACAGCAGCGACCCGGAAAAGGCTCCCACTGTAAATATTTGCTGGTCACAGGGCTTCTATCCAGGCTTATGTGCCATAGGCACCGCATGACAAAATGATGTCAAGAATCCACAGTATACAAAATTAAGAAGAAAGAGGAAACAGATCAAAACACCGGTGGGTGATATTTTTCTTCTTTCTACTTGTCTATTATCATTCTACTTATCTATAATTGTGAATTGTTCCAGTAGCTGACAAATTCTTCCCAAATGTAAACATGAGTTCATGACGTTTTGTAAAAAGGGAAGAAGGTATATTCGTGATACAATGCTCTTATTTTGAAAGGAGACACCAGTCTGTCCCGTCAAAGAAGAGGCTTATTAGTACGATGGTAGACACTAGTGATAAGTAACTGGGGAGACACGTTCCAAATGTTGCTTTAGGCAGCGTGCCCCGACCCTGGGTCAAATCTGCCTGCCTTTCTGTTAACTGTTCTGTGAAATCACAGAGGACGGGGAAGCTCATGGGGGCAGGTGTGAGGAGGGTAAAGGAGTTGGGAGCCGGGCTCCGAGAGCCTGTTGGTCCATAGCAGGCGGCTGCGGCAGGACAGGGTAAGGCGGGGTCCTGCCTGACCGGAATCCCGGGAAGAACCCTGGCCTGGAGGATCAGTGTATTTCCCTTTGGAAGAAGCCACCTCGCTCAAGGCAGAGCAGAGGCGAGACTTAACTATGGCGAGGGTCTGATGTCTTTAGCCTAGGCGCTGAGAACGCAACTTCAGTTTCTGTAAAGCTGCCTTGCTAACCCCATGGTGTTTTTAGAAGCTATAGGAAACCTCTGGGCCCCTTTCTTTGGTCTGAGCTTTTCATCTTCCTTTAGAGCCTTCCTTTCGGGTCACCTGGAGCTAGCGGGTGGTAGAAGGGGCTGGCGCGTCACCTTGGTGCGAGTGACTTCCAGAAAGAACACTCCTGGAACACTTTGTCTTCAAAATCTTACTTCTGCAGGGCGGGCAGGGTGCGGCGCGGACGCTGTGGGTGTCCCCTCACCCAGGCCTCCCCAGACACAGCAGAATGTTCTCGGTGGGTAAGCGGAGTTCTCACTGCTGGTGGCTGGAGTGGAGAACTGGGAGAAAAGGCTGGGAAGGCCTATTTGAAAAACAAACAGGCCAACTATATAGGCAATACAGGAGATTTGGAAACCGCCGTGAACTGCCAGGAGGGAGAGAGGGGAATTCCAGACACCAGGAGATGGCGCCTAGGAAACGAGGGCAAGGAAAGAGATGACCGCCAGGGTGCCAAACTACCCAGTGTAGGCGCAGAGGGGCTCCACAGACCACAGCATCCAACACCTCCGCCCCCGTGGGAGTCCTTCCGAGCACAAAGGAAGCTCAGAAGTCTCCCTCCACGCCAGCCCAGGAGCGAGCGCGGCGGAGCCGCTCAGAGTACAGGCCTGTGGTTGGGTACCTTGGTGCCCTCGTGGAAGTCGTCGACCGACTGCGAGCCCATGAACGGGAATTGCATGTGCGTGTGTGTGTCGATGCCTCCGGGCAGGACGAGCTTGCCCGCCGCGTCCAGGATCCGCAGCCCCCGGGGCGCGTCCCCGAGGGGCAACAGGTCTGGCCCCAGCGCGCGCACCACGCCGTCCTCCACCAGCACATCGGCCACTTGCGAGAAGTCATCGTTGACCACACGACCGCCGCGGATGAGAAGCCGTTCCTGAGATGCCATGGCCAGGGCCGCCGGGAAATCTGTTCGCCCAGGGCGGCAAGCAGAGCCAACTCCCCCTCCGCGGGGTTGAAGGCCGCTGATCCCTGGCCGACCGAGCTGGCCACAGGTGTGGCTCCACCCCAGGGGAGGGCTGGCCTGCCACAGGCCCCACAAAGCCGAGCACAGCCCCAGGTGTCCTGTTGCAGGCAGCCTAGATGTCCCGAATTTATGTGTCAATAGCGGGGAGAGGTCTTGGAATTTGAAGACTGCAGCCAGGGGCTTGCCTTTCTAGGAAAGGTATTTTAGTGAAAGAAATGAAGTTGGTTCCTTGGCGAACACTGTCTACACCAAAAGACAGAAGGAACCCACAGAGTCTACAGCATCAGCCACAATAACACCTCAAAACAGACACATTTGACCTGGCTCCTTCACAAGTCAAGAGCAAACCCCGGCAGTCTCCTGATTGGCAGGCTGTGCTGGCTTGTTTGGGATTCTGGTCTCCAGGTAGATAAGCAAAGGAGAGGATGGGCTGAGCCGGCCTGTGAAAGGGCTTGGGGCGGGGTATGACACGGGACAGACAAGGAGCTGCCAGAGGGAAGGCCTGAGAGAGCTGATAAAGGCAGGCGTGATGGATAATCTTGATTCTCAATTTGACGCGACCTAGCATAACCGGAGAGATGGACCTCTGGGCATACTGTGTCAAATTTCCTGAAGCATCTCTCAGACGATGCACACCTCAAAATATTAAAAATAAGAAAACACACACACACACACACACACACACACACACACCCCCCCCATAGATTTGGTTGTCAAGCCAGGAATGGAAACACCAAAACCTCAGGAAGGTTATATAATTATTGTCAAGGGCCCTTTGTGTGCCCGTGAGTGGGGTAATTATGCACACAATGAAACTCCTGTGAGCGGTGTAAGTCAATGCCGCCACCCGGGAGACTGAGACTGGATGTTCCTGCTGCAGTGACGTTGGCTCTCTCCAAAACTGTCCAGGTGAATTATTCCAAAGGTTTCTTTATCTTGGACACTTTACATCATGACACAACACAAAACAAACTTCCCGCATGTAATTAACTCAAAGTTCTATCAGAAGAGGGGCTTGTGCAGTATCTCGGAGGCGGGAGGAAATGGCTCGCTGAGATCTGCAGGAGCTGAGAGAGCAGAAAAGGGCAGGTTTAAAGGCGGATGCTAGCTGTTAGAATAAGAAGGCTGCCCCGGGTCTGGAGCCACCATCCTTAGTCAGCACCTTCAGGGCAGGAGGCCAAGCCTGGACAAGAGTGCTCAGTGGGCGAGCTTGCGCTCCACACACGTTGCCTGTTTCTGCAGACACTCTAGGTCCCCGACCCTGTGCCAGGAGAGAACTTTCTGGTCTGATAATGAGCTTCTACCTGGACTGTTGCTGGATGCGGGCTTTGGAGACACAGGAAGAACTGAGGGTTGAAAGGGGAATGAATGAGGGACTGGAAGTCAAACTCTGGCTTTGATATAAATTCTATGCAGCTTGGGCAGGACAGTCCAGCCTCGTCCTCCTCATGTGACCAGCGATAGTTAGGTGGAAAGAAGTTTGTAAGGCCGTCCTTCATTAGTCTTCTACAGTCTGATAGTCTTCAAAGAGAGGCCGCTGGTTTTTCTAGAATGAAACTCTCCTGAAGTCTGGAGCAGTGATCTGGAGCTTAGGTTTGTTTTCCAGTCTAAGGACCATTTGGTTTCTGATTCTTCCTCCTGGGTCAAAAGGTTCAGCTTAGAAAGGAGCTGTGGAAAGGCCTGGTGATAGCAGGCACCTGTGGGACAAGTGTCAAGGCTGGAATATTTGTAGTGTGTGTTTTGAATGTGGACTGTCCTTCAAGGCTCCTGAGCTTGGACATTTGGTCTCCAGCTCATGGAGGTTTTGGAAATCTATAGAATCTGGGGAGGAGATCTTGAGAGGAGCGGGTTACCAGGCGGATGCCTTGAGGTGTGTAGTAGCCCCCATCCTGCCTCTGCTTCATGGCTGCAGATCCATGCTTTGTGCCCCTCCTGCTCTCTCCAGGACACTCTGTCCCCCTGACTGCAAGGCAGAAGAAACCCTTCCGGAAGCTGCTTCTTGTCAGGCACTTGGTGCAACAAGAAAGGTAATTAACATTTATCCCTTTCGAATCATATTGGCTTTACCTCTGTCCTTTTATCACTTCTGCCGTGTGAGGACATAGTCATTCCCTCTGGGGGTAGCCCTCACCAGAACAGCCAGCAACTTAACTTTGTGTTTGCCAGTCTCCAGCATCGTGAGAAATGAAAGGTGCCACTTGTGAATGGCCCAGCTCCTGTGTTCTGCTATAGCTTAGATGGACTAAGAAATCAGGGCTGCTTTCAGGGTCCTTGCACTGCAGCTGGGGCATTTCTATCGTTGCTCACCGGTGAAGGGGTAAAGGGCAAGACAAACAGGAATGGCCACAGGGTTCTCTAGCGCTGTTGAGACTGGTCCATTGCAACCCCAGGAGGCACCCATCGCCAAAGCACCACTCCGGAGAGTTGCAGAAGGTAAGGTCTGCGAGCTCACGTTGTCAGCAGCGGGTTAGCTTTGGCACCTGCATGCTTTCATGTACTCCTTCTAGAAGTTATCTGAGGTAAGTACTATCCTGCCCTTTAACACATAACGCTTTTGAGGTCAAATGCTTTGTTTTAGGTCACAAAGTAGCAAATATCAGAGGCCAGGCTTTCAAGAACCTTCAGCTCATTCATCATGGAATCTAGCTCATCCATCACTCTCTAGTTTTAAAAGTCATCTGAACTTGGACCGGGGATGAAGCTGTTAGTAGTAGGTTGTTTGCCCACGGTGCTGCAGGATCAGAAGGTCTCTTCAGCCACACAGTATATTTGAAATCAGGCTGGGTCTCATAATAGGTCATAAGTACACACACACACACACACACACACACACACACACACACACACACACA